TGGTGGACGGCGGCGACGACGGCGGCAGCGGCGCCCCGCCGCGCTCGCCCATGCACACCGGTGCGTGGCGCTGGCACTTGGCTGGCATGCGGTTTGCAGCAGCAAGTGGGGGGCACCCCGGCCGCAACTGCCGCCGCCTACCCGCCTGCGCCGCCACCCGCCGCAGGGCTGGGGTTCTGGACGGCGCGCGACAGCGGCGACAGCACGGTCAGCAAGCTGCGCTTCCCGCGCTACGCACACGTCATCAGGTGGGGCCAGGCTGGGGGTTGGCGGGGGCCTGCACGCCTCATGCCTGTGGGGCCAGCATCGTGTGCTGCAGGGGACACAGCCCCACGCCCACACACACACACACACACACACACACACACACACACACACACACCATGCTCAACACATCCTTTCTGCCCTGACCATGACACCGCGCCGCTGCCTGCCGCGCCTCCCCCCCGCAGCGCCGGCCGCGCGTGCGCCTACGACCTCACGCACGGCATGCTGAGCGACAGCCTGGCGCTGCCGCCCGCCAACGCCGCGGGGCAGGAGCGGCGCCTGGTGCGGGCGGTGCGCTCGCCGCGCCAGGGCGCCTGGCTGGCCTTTGCAAAGGTGGGCGCGCCCTTGGGCGCTCGCCGGCCAGGCAGCAGCAGCAGCAGCAGCTCGCGTGCGGGGCCGTGGAACATATGCTAGCCTTCCAGCCGCCTCCGCCCTGCCGCCCCCGGCCCCAACCGCGGCCCCGCCCCGGCCGGCCCCCGCCGCCGGCACTGCCCTCCCCGTGTGTGCAGGTGTTGTCTCGGAAGCGGGAGGGGTCTGCTCTGGGCCCCGGCCAGCTGGAGTTCTGCCTGGTCACCGACAGCCAGGCAGCGCTGACCACCGGCCAGTGGTGAGCGTGGGAGGGTGAGGGAGGGAGGAGCGTGTGTGTGTGTATGTGTGGTGTTTGTGCGGGCTGCCACCACCACACCCCCACCCCCCGCTGCTCCCACCCCTGCCCCTGCCACCCAAGCATCCGCTCCGCCTGCCCCCCTCTCCTCCCGCCTCCTGCCAGGATGCTGCCGGGCGCGGACGGCGCGTTTGTGGGCCCCCAGCACGACATGGTGGCTGTGGCATCCAATTCGGGGCGCACCCTGGCGCTGTACGAGACCGCCAAGCTGGGCGGGGCGGGGGCGGGCGCCAAGCCGCTGTACAGCGCGGAGCTGGCGCAGGGGCTGGTGGCGGCGGTGTACCCGGGTGGGTGGCGTGTGTGGGTGTGGGTGCGTTTGTGTGTGTCTGTGTTGGGTGGGGTGTATGTCGCGATGCGGGGCCTTGTGAACAATACCCTCAGAAGAACCAGGCAGCAGCATGGCTGTGGGGCCGCTGCCCGCTGCTTACGTGTCAGCCCGCGCGTGCTGCCTCCCTCCCTCCCTCCCTGCCTCCACCGCCCGCAGGCCCGCCGGCACACATCCCGCCCCCGCCCGCCCCCGCCCCCGCCCGCCCCGCCGCCGAC